AGAGCGTATTCCTTCACTTCAAGCCATGACCAAAATTGACTTCGAATACCTCCCAATTCTTAAACAATGGAAGTTTGATAAACTGTTTTCACTTCGACCTGTCGTCTTTCACCAATTAGTCCGCATTTTCTATTCTAATGCGGTCTGTATTCAAAACCATACCCAATGTGGAACCATAGGAATTAGATCCTACCTTTTAGGACAACATATTCTTATTGATTCCGTAACTATTGCCTCTCATTTTGGGTTAGATGATAATGGGGTCTATGACGAAAAGGAAACTGTGGATTATCCCTATCTTCCAAACTCTAGTGTTAGTACCCTTCGCTCCCATCATGACCGTTTTCTTCATTTCATTATCTCTTGGTGGTTTAGACCATCCGCTGGTAGGTACTCCACTCTTCGCAATAGGGATTTATGGTGGATGTATTGTATTAAGAATAATATCAAAATAAACCTTCCACAGATTATCTTTAGTCAACTAGTAGATATCATAAACATTGTTCCTTCTAAACATGTTAAAACATTAGTTTACGGATGTCTACTTAGTAATTTCTTTATCAAACTCGGTCTAGACATTTCTCTTGACACTCCCATCCCTCTCCAAAATCAAATCAATCTCACCTCGTTAAAGAAAGCGGATTGGGTACAAGATGAGCAAACCGGTCTTTGGGTCTTCTGACCCAATAAGCAAACTCCGGGAGCTAGTTCTTCACGAGCTGCTCCTAGTTCTTCTCGTGCTCCTCCTCCAGCTCCTACCGCTGACGAAGATCTAGAGCTTCAACAGCTTATGAGAGAAATTGATGAGGAAGTACCAGATGATGAGCCTGCACCGGAACCAGCTCGGCAAGAAGATCAAACGCTACCATATTTTCGATCTTTCTTAGAGTCGTTTGATCTGCGGTTTGCCTCCATGGAGTCTCAGATTACTGAGTTTCAGAGAGAGATGCGTGAACATATGGATGCTCTCACTCTTGAAGTTCGAGCTCATTATCCTCCTCCTCCTGATCCTCCGATGGAGTAAATATGTTTTCTTGTCATGCTTTCTTGGATTTAAAACTTGGATTGATTTTGATATTTCAGGATTGTTTGTTTTTGGATGTTTTAAATTTGTTGGTTGTTGGATTTTTGAACTTATTTTGTGTTTTATGGATTTTGAACTTTATATATATATTTGGTTTGGTTGAATTTTCTTATTTTTTCATCATTAGATATATATGACCAATTATCCATTACATGTTTATGAATATTGAATTATAACTAATGGCTAATCTTTCTTTTGATTGTGATCTTAGCAGCTTAAACTTTATCTTATTAATCAATTGGCTATATTTTTCAAATTCTTGTTTTAATAACGTTTTAGAGTCTTTTTGATTTAACAAAAAGGGGGAGAAAAATGTGTGTCATAGTAAGGGGGAGTAATCTTAATCAAAATTGATTTCAAAATGATTTTCTTAAACAAATCTTAAAATTACACAATTGTTTTGTTATATCAAAAAGGGGGAGATTGTTGAAAACATTTTGATATTTCGATATAACAAATTAAGTATAAATGAATTTTAAGATTTTACAAAAGATTTTTATAAGTATATTCGATTAATTAATCGAATATCAAATTATTACTCCAAGTCTTTCAAGATCAATTTTAATCCTTACTAAACGTGTAAAAAATTATGATTTGTACTTAAACTATTTTTGAAACAATTTTCACAAAGTATTTTGAACCAAAATCAAGCCTTAAATCAATTTTGCAAAGGCATGCACCGATGCATCAATACATGCATCGATGCATCATTGAATAAATTGAACATCGAATGCATTTCATGCACCGATGCACTATACATGCATCGATGCACTTTGATTTTAAATGAAAACATCGAATGCATTTGATGCATCGATGCACACACCATGCATCGATGCATTCAGGCTTTTTCAAAACATCAAATGCATTTTATGCATCAATGCATACTTAGTGCACCGATGCACTAAGTGTTTCAACGGTCAAAATATTTGAATTTTACACTGATGCACTGATGCACTATGGTCATGCATCGATGCACCGACTCTCCGAACTGTTTTAATTAATTGCTTTCACACTCAAACGACTCTATTAACTCCACTAATCATCCCCAACGTTCAGAATCAATTCAAGGAGTATTTAAACAAGCTTAGAAGACATTGATCAACAACAATTATCAAGAATCAAGAGAGAATCAAAGAGAAAGCATCAAACCTCAAGTTTGAGCAATTTCAAGCCTATTTTTCTTAAATATTCATTTTGCTTTCAAGAACACTACTTGTACTCAGTTGTATTCATTCTTGAGTGTTCTTTTCTTTGTTCTAGAATTGTGCAAACATATTTGCCTTGTGAGGTTTTTCTTGTAAGTTTGCGAATTTGTAATCTTTTCTTTGGGAAAGAGTGTTCTCAAGAATTAGGGTATATTCTTGAGGGAGTTGTAAGGTTATCTCTTTGGCCTCAAAAGAAAGAACAAAGTAGTGAATTTGTTGGAAAATCCTTAGTGTGGATAGCTAAGGTAGTGGGCGTAGACTTTGTTTGAGAAAGTCGAACCACTGTAAATCACTGTGCAATTTCTTTCAATTTTCTGCAAAAAACTTCCACCGAATTTTTAATTGCAAATTCACCCCCTCTTGGCCGATTCCGTCGATCGATTAACTCAACAAAGTTATATGAATTTGAGTTCCCCATAGGTAATGAGAAAGACCCTAATGAGGTTCAAAATTGACTTCCGATTGTACCAGATCTATCCTTTTTAAGGGAGCATGGTCGTCCAAAATCCACTCGAATTCATTGTAATATGAATATTCGGGAAACGTCCAGAGAAAACAAAAGATGTGGGCATTGTAGAAACCTAGGACACACTAGGAAAAAATGTACATCTCTTTTGTCATCAAGTAACCATTGATGTTGTGCTTGATGTAGTTGTTTATGAAATGTAAGTTTCTGTAATTTAATTTTCATTTACTTTCAGTTATGTCATTTGAGCATCACCGATTAATTAAACAAGAAAATGATACAACAAAAAAATTAAAAAGCATTAAATAATAAAAACATTCAAACAGTTAAGTAATAAAAATTAACAAACAAAATAAATTAAGTAATAAAAAGTAAATAATTAAATAAAAATATTGCAATTGTTGGTAAATAAAAAAATTAAATACAAAAATAATGAAGTGTATGACTTTATCGATGCATGCGTCTTGAATGTATTCCGCAGGGCGATGATTGTTTGTCTTGAGGAGGAATTATTCATATAACTTGTTATGACTCCTCACTCTCGTCATCATCACCATCACCATCATCATCATCATTATCATCATCAGGAGTAGATACATTTTGTTGATGAGGGACGAATGACGATGTAGCACCTCCATAGAATAAGGACCCTGAAGGTGTATGATTGATTATCTCACCGCTCATAGAAAACTGTGAAAACTGCGAAAAGTTCGACTGCGTTGAGTGCGAAAACTGTACAGGAGAAGTATGTGCATGTGGTGAAGCTTCACCCGCCAAATAACCAGCATATGAACCCTGATTTGGATCTACAAACATGGAAATATAATATCCTCCATGAGGGGTCATATAACTCTACGGCGGTGGTGACATTTGGTATGGAAGCGGTGGCGTCTGACCTAGCTGCAGTGGCATATGAAATGGCCACGGTGTCATCTGATATGGCTGTAGTGCCATCTGAAACGACTGCGGAATGTACATCGGTATAGATGGTGGTTGCTGTGAAAGTTCCGATGCTGTAACTAAGGACGATTCGGAAGTGACTACTCTCTGTCCACGAGTCGGGGACGATGATATTGTGATGGTGGACGTCTTTGTCGACGTCGATGAATGCTCCCGCCTCGTGCTTCCTCGAAAAATATGAATGGTTTCTCGTTCCTGTTGAACCACTCATAATAACTATCTGCAACCGAGTAATTATCCATATAAATGGGTTCTGTACGGGGAATGCGCCTACGTCGATCCTCCCATATCATTACTCACTCATAGTGCTTCAGCAACCAGTTGACTTCTTTTTTGCCCCGTCTATCAATGATATGCAAATCATCGAGATTCTTAGGTGCTTCTGGAATAGATTGTACAAAACCAAATTGGCGGAACACGTGATCAGTGGGATGCCACTCGACAATAGCATAACATATTAGAGGGACCATCGCCATCCAGAATCTAATGGGCCTCTTAAGTGATGCGGGTTGCAAATCATCATCTCTTCAGTACAATAAGGAGCAAATTCAAACTAAAATAAATATATATAATTCTTATCAAAATAATAATCTAATTATATAACGATAATTAAAAGTATATTTTGTTATTCAAATACATACCTCTGTGCCAGCCTTCTGATCAATGAGTAACCTAATTTCTTTTAATTCTTTAGGTAAATCCCGATGATCTTTTCTTGCGCTTGACCATCTATTCATTAGGTAATTTCCTTTTATGAAAAAAAGAAACTCTCAGTTTTTGCTTAAGCGATATTAAGCTACTTACCACTTGAACCAAACTCTGTTGGTTTTTAGTTATTTATTTTAGTGACAGTGTTCATTTCAAAATTTTATTTGTGTTCATTCAATTCAACGTACGGATTTTTTTAATAAAAATAAAACCTAAATTAAATAATAAAAATTGAATATTTAGAAGTCGAAAAGTAATCTCAATAAAGAAATAGAATATTATTTTTTATAAATATATTAAATTCAAATATTTATATTTACAAAATATAGAAGTAATCAATTGTAAAAAAAAATTATGAGTATATATTATAATATAATCACCTATGTTAAAAATAAAAAAGATCTAAATCCATCATGATCAGATTCAACTTGAGTTTTTAATTTTCTCCTTTGCACTCACTAACCGGCGCAGCCCGTTGGTCTTTCCCAAACAACAAAGCTGTCAAATCCAAACCCTTGATTCAAAACCCTCTTTCCTCTCAAAAGCGCGAAAAAATTTCAATTATACTAATTCTCAGGTAGAAGAAAAAGAAAAACGCTAATTTCCTTTTGTTTTCCTGCTTCGGGGCTAGGGTTTTAGTGTTTGACCTTCTATGGCTGCCACCGCTAAATCCGTCGATCGTTCTCTTTGGTGGGAGCCGTTCTCTTCTCTTCTGACAGAACTTGAGAATGCCTCTCCCTCCGTCGACCTCCCGGAAACCCTGGTACATCTACTACTGATCTTTCTCTTTTATTTTTCTTGTGGAGCATATTCTGCCTATTGGGGTTGTTTTTATACGTTTTGAATTATGCAGGCGAAGAAGTTGAAAGAAAATCACGATTGGCTCGTGGAGACGGTTTCCAGGTTTAAACCGCCGAATGAGAAGTCGAAGGAGGCTTTGACGAGTTCGCAGCAAATCAAGATTGGTCCACATGAGTTGACCATTAAGCCTGATTTCAGAGATAAGGCTTTGCAAGTCAGCTCGTATTTGGTTAGTTACACCTTCACTATTCTTTTAAATACCAATTTGAACATTCTCTCTTTTTTCTTTTAATTTTACTGTACATTTATAAAGCTATATTTTAGTATTTAGCACAATCTACTGTTTTATTGATTAAGAAGAGCTAACAATTTTATGGAAACGAGTCCTACATCGGTGACAATTTCTCCTCAAGTAGAAAGAATTCATGTCTTCTGGCATTACATAGTTCATTTCTGATTTTAGTTTTGGCTTGTTAACAGTGTTTGGATGAGGTGCAGTCGTACATTCTTGTAGATAGGTATCTGGAGCGAGGAAATGCTGCTGAGAATTACATAGTTCATGATCCTATTCATGTGGTTAGTAACTTGTTAAACTTTTTTGGATGGTTATTGTAATTATAAACATGGATGCCCCTGTTACACATGCATACTGATGTTTGTTTAAGACGTCATAAATGGGAAATATATGTGGGTCATCTGTTAATAAAACTTTAGCATATATTCTATGATATGAAGATGTCTGATTCTTTTCTATATATACTTTTATTTTTTTCCTTGTGAAGGTATTGCTACAATATTTTATTGAGCGTCAGTGCTTGTTCAAGTGCACCAGGCAGATCCTAATGCATGCTTGTAAGGCTATTATGATGAAGCTGTTATATTCTCTGACCGCCCATTGATGACACATCTTTCAATAATATATTAATTTTGTTATGACAACTCTACTGTATTTGGTTCAGTATATTTGGGGAATAGCTTGAAAGAAGGGAGTCTGATTAGGGAGGAAGCACTAAAGCTGATTTCTGATGGATTGGAAGGAAAACTAATATCTGTTGTGGAAGTCCTCATGTCTTGCAGTCATCCAGAGCAGATGGTATGTTTGATATGATTTGTCATTTACTTTTTACCCCTACAAAAAATTAGGAGCAACACGTTTGTAGAAACATGGGCAGCTAGTAGGAATGTGTTCATTATGATGGTTGATTATGCAGCATGCATCTTTTGATTTTTTTTTGAGGCAGTGGACTCTTTTTTTGATAAGAGTTACAGGCCTCGTTAAAAACCCCCTTCATGATTAATGGAGCTTGTAGAGAAGCTCCTTAATCAGCGGAAGGAAGAAAAGAGTGTCTTAGAATTTCATTAATAACAAGATAAGATACATAACAATTACAACACCCAGAAGGTTCCCTTACATAAAAACCTTAAACCCAAAAATCAGCCCTTAACATCAACACTTAAATCAGCCTATTCCAGCCTTAGCTAAGGCATCAGCCTCTAAGTAAGCTGTCCTAGCAACCCATCTAACCACACCCTCAAAATCTTTAAGTGTAACACCCCCAACCCGTATTCGACCCGGATCCGAGTTCGAGGGGTCACATTGACTTTTCAAAACGTTTTTCTTTACAAATTGGTTAAAATTTAAATTCACAATTTGAGAAAGTGAATGATTTTCATTAACTAAAACATTTGGTCTTACAAAACCTATCAGAGCATATTCAATACAATTCTCTTAGTACATGCCAACTACAATTAATAGAACAATATACATAAATTTTCCAAATACTTTTATGATCTGAACTTCGTAAAGGAGTGGTTGACCTGTTTCGCTCCTCTTAGCTCCTCTAAATGCTTCCCGGAACCTACGTGTGAAACACTCACACGCTAAGTCGATGACTTAGTGAGGCATTAAACGTATAAAGATAACTCTAACTACTTAACCATGCATGAACATATCATATCATGTTATCACACAAAGCAATATAACATTAAATATAATCAAATGTATACATATACACATCATTTCCATCATTTCCATCATTGACCTTATTTTACTATCAATATTATTATCATTTATATCTTTTAATCATATCCTCTTGTACCTAACGTTTTAACCATCATATGTCTCATTTAACCAAACAATACACATATCATCATATAAATCATATCATACAATTCATTTCACAAAAGCATATACGCCATATATCATATGTTTATTGTTATCTCTTTGTTAGCCCATGTACACATGTAAGAACTATAGATATGTGAGTCTATAGAGGTTGTGCACCAATGCTGTCACCACATCTCGTATAAATTCCCACTAGGGGCACTGAATATTTGTCCCGAAGGACCACTATGTCCCGAAGGACCACTAATAATCCCTCGACTCTTGGCATGCCACCTATACCCCTAGCTCTAATAACACATAACATGGGCATTATCATTCATGTTATTTCATATTTTCACATTCATATCATTTATCTTTTATCACATGTCATATCTCTTATGATCATGTAATCACATAACTTTGTATCATATAGCTCATTATCACCTTTCATAAGATCACACATAGTCACATAACTTATTTCCATATAATTCACCTGTACATATAATAACTTATCTCATATAATATAACTTATGGCTTAGACTTTTATCCTCATATAAATCATGTAACATATTATAACCTATAAACATATATCACTTATGCATGTATTCATGTACTCATTTTCATATAGTCTATATATATATATATATATATATATATCAATAAAATATATCTTAACTCCATGTTTTACATAATTACTTAGTTCAGTTTCACATAGCTTATCACATATACATGTTTTCTCATAAATTATCTTCAAAAAGCTCCTATAACATCTTCCTATGGCTTCATAGATCTTTATCATATATCTTATTTATTATAAGTTCATTTAAGCCTATAAATCTTCCCCATATAATTTATCTTACATGTTCATATAATCACTTCTATCAATATCTCCTAATTTATATACTATTCTCATATTGCCATATAGGTCAATGCTATTTACCTTATTTCACTTTTCATTTAATCCCTTAAGTTGATTATACCAATTCCCTTATATCTAAATCATGTAATTTATATCTTGTTATTATATCTTCATCTAGACCTATATCCACATATCTTATGTCAATTCCTCTTGTTATCACATAAGTCATTTCTATTTTACATAGCTCGTGATCCTATAACTTATATTCCATGTTCATATAGCTCATATAACAAGAACTAACAAATAACATAAAAAAAAGATGAGTGAGAGAGACAAAAAAGTAGAGAGAGAAAGTAAAAGAGAAAATGGTCAGTCTTCCTCCGGCGTGAGTTGGACTGTATTCGTTGATAACCTGAGTAAGAGAGTCACTAGAAGAGAGTTGAGGATTCTTTTTCTAGATCAGGGTCATGTGGTGAGAGTCTTCATACCAAACGAGACAAATAAACCAAAATACCACGTTCGCTTTTGTTCAGTTTGGTAATGAAAAAGGAATGAGAAATGTAGTCGAAAATATAAACGGATTGTGGATAGATGGGAATAAAGTATTTGTTGGAGTTGCAAAATATTTGAAAGACCGATCAAGGATTGCAGGCACATCTCGGTAATTATTTGATGTTTCGGATAATTTTACAGAAGGGAAATCAAAACCATGTGAGAAGTCTGAGTTTCTGAGAAGTATAAGGGATGGCAGATCATATAAGGATGCCTTGATGACGAGTAGTACGCAGAGGAGGAATTTGGAGCAAAAGGGATATAGATATGGTAGCTTGGACAGGGGGAGAGGTAAGAAAAATATTTGGGAGATGCACATTCCTACTGAAAGCTCAACCTGGGTGAAAAGATCTCTGACGGGTATTGTTAAACAATCTTTCGATCTGGAGCTGGTTCAAAGAGCTCTAGCAAATGACGGTATTGAAGTCCAAATAGCGAGCTGGGGGTACTTCTGGAATGCTTGTGTTGTTACTTTTAAATCTGAGGAAAAGTTGAAGGAGGCTTGGTTGAATAAAAGTGAGGAGTTATGGTTCTGGTTTGACCGAATGGCACCTTTGTTGAATGAAGGTGGAGTGCCGATGGCTTACTGTCTAGTTGAGTTGTATGGAGTTCCTTTATTATGTTGGCAAGAAAATTTTCTGAAAAAGTTAGCAGGGAGATGGGGGATTTTGGGCAGAATTCATGATTCGACAAAAACCAGGGAAGATCTCACGACGGTTAAAATGTTGTTAAGGGTAGCAAGTCCATTTGATGTCCCGGAAGTGATAACTTTAGGGTCCTATGGAAGATCTTTCAAGGTAAGCACTAAGTTGGGATCGACTTCTTCGGTTTCAAATTTTTTTCTTGGCAACACGCCGGAAAAAGATTCCGATGATAGAGTCACTGTCATAGAGTCGTCAGAGGAGGGAGATGACAGTATACACTATTCTGTCAAGTCAGGTTCTATTCGGCAAGTTGAGGAAGATCGTCAAAAGGTGGACACGTGGATTGATCAAGGACTTTCTTCAGGTTGATTGCTTAGCTAAGGCTGGTATTGGTTAGTTCTACTGTCTTGCTAAGGATGTTCTTGTGTTTTGTTTGTTTGTCATTGTAAAGGGAGTCTGTATGTTTGTTTTTTAAGAATTATGTAACTTTCGGTTATTAATGAATTATAAGGCACCCTTTTCCTCCTTCCGTTGATTAAGGAGCATCTTATGATCCATTAATCATGAAGGGGATTTTTAACGAGGCCTATCCTTCCTATCAAAAAAAATATAGCTCATATAACATTATTCCTATAATACATAAATCGGTGCCATAACACATATCATATAAATTCATACCTCATAACATGTAATACGAACAAAGCATATTCACATAATATCAAACATAATTATGCTTCTACTCATACAATCATATATTCAACATATTGGAAACAGACTTGTCGCAAGTCTAATTTCCATATACAATACATATATTCTAGTAGTACGCACTCACCTGGCCTCACTAGTCAATTCGAGCCCTTATAACTCTTTGACTTTCCCTCGATCGATCTTACTTGCCAATTGTTCCGAAACTCGTTAAGGCTTAGTGTCTACATAAATATAGTTTCCAAGACAATCATTAGAAGCCTAAACATCATAACTCGATTCTAATAACTTAAGCTAATTGATGAACATAATTCACATTTTCCATTAAGGGGGTATCGGTACACTACTGGGGGTATCGGTACCCAAATTCAATTCGAAATTCACAGATATGGCTACATACCTGTGTGTATCAATACACCCCGTAATGTATCGGTACACCATGAAGATGTTCTTCAAAATTGGTCTTAGTATATCGGTACCTATTCATAGTGTACAGGTACACCCTGCCCAGAACAGACTTTTCACCCGAAAATTCAACAATTCTTCATTAAATTTCCTTATATAAAGCTCCTTTCATACCACTAAACTCAACTACAACCATTTTAACTAACTTCTATCATTTCAACATCTTATTATCTCCCACAATTCATCATAATTCTTAAAACCAAGAATCTTACTAAATTTTCCATGTAATCAAAACTTAGTTCTAACACTTATAACTTCTTATTCACACTTATGACAAGTCAAATTCAACTTCTAACTTCAATTACTAACTTTATTCCAAGATTTCACTTATAACCATCTCATCTTTAATCCTTTCTAACTTAATTATCTTAGAGTTTTAAGCAACCTTAAGCTTTCTTTCCATCTCAAGAATTAAACCCAACTTAAAATTGAACAGAAACAATCACTTAAGATAATCTTACCTTACCAATGGAGGACGGGAAGGAAGGAAGAAAAAAGCCAACCATCTCCAGAGTTTTCTTATTTTCCTTCCCATCTCCACGTGTCTATAGAGGGAAGAAAAAAATCTTTCCTTTGAAAAGACCATTTTACCCTTTATACTTTCCAACTTTATTATTAAATCCAACATCAAAATTCTCCAATTAAGCCCCTGAACTTTTAACTTGTTTTGAAATTAAGCACCAAGTTTTCAAAATTTACAATTTAGTCACTAGCCCTGAAGTTGTGATGTTACATTAAGCCTATCAACGATGTCTTTTACAATTAAAGCATACACATCTGGACATAGTTCAACATTCTTGATCCAGTCCATTGCCACCTTACTATCACTCTCAATAATCAAACGTTCCTTAACAAGCCCTCGAAAAGAGACAAAGAAAAGTAAACCCTTTTGAATAGCTTTAAGCTCCATCAAGATAGGAGGACCTGGACCAGAAGACTCCTTGAAAGAACCTAAAATCGAACCATTTTTGTTTCTGAGAACGCCACCTAAACCACTCCTCTTCCAGGCAAAGCTAGTAGCAGCATCTACATTTAATTTAATGAAGCCCTTAGGAGGAGGAGACCAAGGAATCTTAGATACAATCGATTTGTGTACTGAGCAAGAATCCCCAAGAGAAGGATCAGATATAAGAGAATCCTTAGGAATAGAAATCTCTTTGTATTTGGCTAAGAACCAAGAAGCAAGCCTAAACCTTGCTAAGAAAAATAATTTAGTCTGGTCTAACTTCCCTCCTTCGAACACAATGGCATTCCTGACTTTCCAAATGTTCCATAGAACAACCCCTGATACAAATGACCATATTGCAGAATTGGTATTCAAATCTTCCCATGCTATGAGAAAACTCTTAGCATTTGCATGGAAAACAACATTGAGCCTCCAAAACTTCATCAATTTATTCCATAATGTCCACACAATAGAACAAGTAAAAAATAAATGTGATGAAGACTCCTCCAACTTGCAAAGTGGGCATAAAACATCATCAATACCCTGAACCCCTCTTTTAAACAGTTCTGTCTTTACAGCCAGCTTCTGAAGCAACTTGCAAAGAGGCAGTGGACTCTTACTATGTGTATTGTGTATGCATTACATTTGGTGATACACGGATAGATATTAGTTCAGTATCTCAGTTGTTTTTGATTTGCTGTTATGCTTAAAGCCTTCTTACTTTTTAATGCATGTTTTATAGGATGTTGATCTTTTTACGTTATGGGCTGAGGAGACACTTCTCGAAGACAACTTGGTTTTGGACATTATTTTTCTCATTTATTATGAGTCACTTTGTACATGTAATGCTGAAAGATGGAAAAATTTGTGCGAACTTTATAAGGTATGTCATTATCCTTAGTTGATATATATCAACTTCCAAATTATTTACCCACTTTACCCTTGCTTAGCAATATGATGTCACAGGGAACCTTATCGGGGTCTTATAACTTTGGAAAGCTAGCAATATCACCTGAAGCACTATCTTCCTTTTATCATGCCAAAGTTAAGCTGTTACTTATCCTCATAGAAGCTCTGAACCTGGAAAATCTTCTTCAGATGGTTCATGATGCAATTCCTTTCAGGTTTTTGGATAGCCTTTACTTCCTTTTTATATACATTTTCTTTCCAAATCATAAATGAGTATAGTTAAGCACCTAAAGTATGGAGCCAAAGAACCCAAACTTCTTGAAAAATAAGGGCAGAACACTGAAAGAAAGAGACAAAACATAATCATTCTAAAACTGTATGTTTTGGCATATATGCCGATATTAATTTTATATTACTTGGTTTTCAAGTATTCATTTATTTTACCTTTTTTTCAACTCTGGTGGTTAGATAATTTATTTTGCTGTTTCACAGGCAGGGGGGCTGTGATTTTACCATGATTGATGTCCAAGAGATTGATACTCTGATATCTGGCTTTGATATCTTTGAAATGAGAGAAGGCGGCCCATTGCTTCTTGCTTGGGCAGTGTTTCTATGTCTGATTTCATCACTCCCTCGAAAAGAGGAAAGTAATGAATTGATGGTATGTGTTTTTCCCCTCTTTTATTTTCTAAATGAATGAATATTACCAACAATGACATTGTCTTTGTTTTGGTTCAATTTCTCAGGAGATAGATCATGTTGGGTATGCTCGCCAAGCTTTTGAAGCTTTGTCTCTGAGTTATTTCCTTGAAATCCTTCAAAGTGGTATCTTGAAGGAATCAGATGTAAGAAAAAAAATTATATTCTCATTGTGTAGATCTAGTGCTAGTCTCATACATACCACTAATCACTTAGTGCATCAGTTTTTTTTCCCAGTGGAATTCATCACAGCTGTAGGAAATTATTGTCGGTTTTACATTGTCTTGGTCATTGTGTTTCGTGGTCCTCTTGTGATGTTCTCTAATCTTTTTTTTTGATAGGAATTGTAGGCCTCATTAAAAACCCCCTTCTTGATTAAGGAACTTATAATGAGTTCCTTCATCAGAGGAAGGAGGAAAAGAGTGCCTTAAACTTCATTAATGATAATACCTAAGATTACAACAAGAAGAAGCCCCTTACAACAATTTGAAAAAACCCAAAATAAAATACCCCTAAGATACACTGGAATTAGCCAATGGCAGATTTAGCCATCCCATCAGCCTCAATATTGGCTGCCCTAGCAACCCATCTAATAACACCCTCAACTTCTTTTAGCTTGATAGTTATGTTCCTTACAAGACTGACAAAAATCTGAGGGCAGAAAGTTCCATTCTTAACCCAATCCACGGCCAATTTGCAGTCTGATTCTAACAATAGACGACCATTAATACCTCCTTTCACTGAATCAAAGAAAATTAAGCCCTTCTGAATAGCCCTTAGCTCCATCATAATAGGTGGACCTGGACCCGTGGCCTCCTTAAAAGATCCTAGAATAAGACCTTCCTCATCTCTTAGAATACCCGCAACTCCACTGCTGTTCCAATCCGAATTTGTAGCAGCATCCACATTCAATTTTACAAAGCCCTTAGGAGGAGGGGACCAAGGAACTGTAGTAACCATCGATTTGTTGAGAGGGAAGCATGAATCCCCAAGAGACGGGTCCCCGATTAGAGAATCCATTGAAATACCAGAATCTGCAAACTTAGCTGAGAACCAAGATGCAAGTCGTACTCTTGCTAAGAAAAATAGATTAAGATGGTCAAACTTCCCTCTATCAAAAACAATATCATTTCTTACCTTCCAAACAGTCCAAATAACAACGGCAGGAAAGAACTTCCAAATGGCAGACCTAGGATTAAGATCTTCCCAAGCTTGAAGAAACTTCTGCGCCTTTGTATGAAAAACCACAAAAAGACTCCAATACTGCACAAATTTGTTCCAAAGTGACCACACAACTGAACACGAGAAAAATAAGTGAGAAGAAGATTCAACCTCCAAATTACATAAAGGACAAGAAGGATCTGTTATACCCGTAACCCCTCTCTTCACCAGTTCAGACCTCACTGGCAGTTTTTGAAGAACTACCTGCCACATGAATACCTCAACTCTTGGTGGCACCAGACCTTTCCACACAAATTTCTTCCAAACATAATCCTCCTTCTGAGCCAAAGAACAAGTCTTCACACATGAATTAGCAGAATAGACACCAATTCCGTTTCCTTTCCAAATCAGACCATCGATTGCCTCTTTAGACAGATAAAAATTAGAAATGATAGCCATCAGGTTAGCCCACTGTTCAAATTCCCAATCGGCTAAGCTTCTCCTCAACTGAATATTCCAGATCCATCCCAAAGAGCTGAACTCGCCAAATTCAATCAGTTTTCCAAGCTGGTTTGTAGAGATTGCGAACAACCTCGGAAAAGAAACCTTAAGAGGACAGTCCATTGCCCATTTGTCCTGCCAAAACTGAATAAATTGACCATTCCCAACTTCTAGTCTGAACATGCTGCGAAAATAGCAACCAAAAGAGTCTTCTTTAAAATAAGAATTCACCACCGAGCTCCAAATCCAAGAAGCTTGAGCTGGGATTTTGCGATTGAACAATAAAGAAAAAGGATCAATATTGTATTTTGAACAGATCATTCTCCTCCAAACAGCATCCTTGTCATTTGCGAATCTCCAAGACCATTTCCCCAATAGTGCCCTGTTCATATTGCTAATATTTAACACTCCTAATCTGATTTTGGTTTTACCCCCACTTTTCAGGGTCCTGTTGCAGGTTATCGAAGTGTCTTGAGAACTTTTATTTCTGCATTCATTGCATCTTATGAAATTAGTCTTCAGGTGATTACTTTTAATGCATGTTTGATTGTTGCTTGTACGGTTATTAGTTGCTTGTATGGTTATATTGAATTTCTTATATATTGCTGTCTTCATTTTGCAGGAAGAGGATAGTACCCTTAATTTGATCTTGGCTATTCTTTGCTATGTTTATCGAGGAGAGGTTTGGATGTTTAGTGAATTTACTTCAGACTTCAGATTAATTTAACTTTTATTATTCGCTGCCCATAGGTTATTAATTGGGATTTCTTGTTAACCTATATTGCAGGAGTCACTTTGTATTCAATTTTGGGACAGAGCAAGTTTCATTGATGGTCCTATTCGGTCCATTCTCTGTAACTTAGAGGGTGAATTCCCTTTTAGGACCGTGGAACTTCTACGCCTTCTATCATCTCTATGCGAGGGAAGTTGGCCTGCAGAATGTGTGTAAGTGAGGGGTTGCTTTTCTCTTTTTGTGATCCAATTGTTCTCAATGTTACATGTATACAACTTAAGTGGTTTCTATTCTTTATGGCAGAGCTTGACTGACTCTGGTTTGTGTTATAGTTTTAACTTGAGAGGAGCTATCTAAATTCTGAGAAGAGAACATAACAAGATACTACTTAAGTTTGTTTTATGCTATTTATTTACGTATTAGGGTTAGTTGATTTGATATGAAACATGTCTTCCTTTTTGTGATTCAACTGTTATCAATTTTACAAGTATGCAACTGAGACAGCTACTACATTATACATGTGTACTGAGACATACATGTATGCCTCGTTATGTTTTTAATATCTAATATTTTTGTTAAGTAGTTTGTCTTCTTTGTGGATGAGCTTCATTGATTTTGGCTTGTATTATGTTCATTTGAGCTATCTAAATTCTAAAAAGAGAATGTGGCGAGGTGCTACCCAAGTTTGTTTTATGCTATTTAATTTGGATAGGAATTAGTTGATACAATGTGCAACATGCCAACTCATGTTCTATGTTTTAAAATTTATTTTTACATTTTTAGTTTTTTTTTATGCAATTTAAACTGTAACAGTTCTTGTAAAAATCTATTCGATATACCTTCCTGTTGCTGCCTTTATTTGGGATGTCATAGATGACCTCTGCAGTTTTTTGTTTCCTGATATTTATTTTTTGATAAATTGTTTGTTCAAGTACTAATCATTTATCTTACGTGTATTGCACTTATGCTGTTTACAGGTATAATTTTTTAGATAAATCCACTGGCATATCATCTTTGTTTGACATTACTAGTGAATCCTTATTGGATCATGCGTCTCAAATTATTGAAAATCAGTATCCAGTGTGTATTCCTGGGATTGAAGGTTTGCATATTCCTAGTAGAACCTGTGGGCACATTCTGAAAGTAGTTGGTGGGGAAACTGCTCTTGTGCGCTGGGAGGTAAATAATTGAGAGGTTATGCTTTTTTTTCTCTTTTTTCTTAGTGTTTATTAATAATATTTTACAGATTTTGTTATATTTTCTTGGAACAAGTTTTGGTTGTGGTTTTTAACCTTTTTCTGACTGCAAACCAACAGACAATAGCCTAGAATTGTTAATGCATTATTTTTCTGAAGTTGGGAGCAATGGAGCTCTGAAATAAATTTAACGCTAGAGGAATCAACCCTCTCTGTTTATTTTATGATTATTTTGATATAGAACTCTGTAACATGCAAAATCTATTATCTACATATGTTTCAATATTTATGCACTATCATAATAGTGGTAGAGATTTAGTTTTTTATATATGGAACTTTGCAAAGCTAAATTGTATTATCAGTTCTTATCTAGATATGTTTGTTATGCATATAAAATGTTAGTCGCCGTCTAATTGTTTTAGTTGATTCTTTGGACTTCAACATGCAATTATAGTGTTTGGGTGAAAATTGCACCTTGTAGATAGGCTGGTAATATATTCATATAATCTGATTTTCTAGAATGCATATAATTTATATCATGGCATCTCTTCTGCAAGGAGCTGGAATTAATTTTTTCTTAAATAACATTGATTCACAAATTCTGCTTGATGGTATTTGTTAACTGGTATGTTGCATGTGCATGTCAATCTGTATCTATATGTATGTATATGAATTCTTCTCCATTGTTTCCTGATATCTTTTCTAATTATTAATAAAATGAATAATGGATAAGGTTTAATATATGATTACTGGTATGCTGATTTGCAGTGATGGTACTCTTTATGGTTCCTTAGGAAATTGCTTTATTGATGAAACCCCAGAAACTTGGTTGGAGGTTTCAACCATATAAATAGGGTATATCAATTCCGGTTTAATTCCTTGATCTTGTTCTGCAGCATTCAAAACCGGCCGTGTTTGTGCTGCTCCTTCGTTTGGCCCAGACTCCATACTTAGAAAACAATGAAGAAGGATTTCTTACCCTTGACCTACTTGGCCGAATGGTTTCCTTCAACACGGTACTTTTTTGCTGCCTGCTTTAGTTATTCATATTTAATGATCTATGGATAACTATAAATAATGTTATTCTCCAGAAACTATTTTATTGTAGCCATTGTCTATGAATGTAGTCTTTGTTCTACATTTCTTATGCTTAAAATTGTGAATTCATTGAAACCTGTGTTTTTGGTTGGTGTTTGTCCAATTACCTTAACACTAATGTTGTACCTAGCTTGAAGTTTTAACTTCTTTGTTTTCTAACAACTCTTTTGAATAGGCTGTATGCTTTTCTTTGATGGATAGTTGCAACATCTTTCATGTCCAAGCAACTGGCTTGAATGAGCAAAAAGAAAATAATGTGTGGTAATTAAGCAACTTGGGCCTATTTCTTTCATGTGCTATTTCATTTTTTGCGCCTCTTGTGGGCTATATAGCAACAATTTTGTCTTTGTTTCTTTTGCAGGGTGGTTGAGATCATTAGCAATATCGTAAGAAATTTGTCTCCTAATCCTAGTGGTGCTGCATTGATGTCCATGGCTTTTGTAATCTTGGCAAAGATGCTGAAATGGTAATTGAACCTATGTTTTTCCAAATTTTGAAATGACATATAAGTTTCAAGTATAGATAGGTAGAAACTATCTTTGCAAACTGGTTGGCTGCTGATAGCCTAACCAAACTTGTTGCTTGTGTTCTTCTAGGTGTTCATAAAATTTGCAAATGCCAAGAATTTTGTTACTAGCATTTATATTAATGAATCAAACCCCCTTTCCTTGGGGGGGGGGGGAAGAAAAAAAGTATCTAACCCCCTAACTCAATTCATTGGTAAAGCCACATCCATCAGTTCCAGCCTTCCAGGTGGAAAAAATGAATGGAATCTTAGTCATGCAACAATCCATTAGCAATTACAATTTAATAGTTTTATTTGAGATGAAAAATAATCCATGCATGATCTTCGTCTTATTAGTTGGAGTTTAGTTCTTGTAAAGAAGGATTCTAGGTGATGGTGTTCCTGATCAAGGATATTTTACAATCTGATATTCGTTGTGATATTTTACATCCATTGGATAACACATTTTATCATTAGGGCACAAAACTTCAATCTGTTTGTTGCCAAAGTTCATTGAAGCATGTCTTTTATTTTCGCTGATATTGTTACCTATCACTCATACACATATTCATTCATTCTTTATTTGTTTTGTGGTAGTTCCCCTTCTAATGTTGCTGCAGTAGCCTTGAAAGCAAATATATTTGATGTCGCTTCAAATTCAAGTATCTTCAATTTAGGTTGGAATGGTCTATCAAGGTAACCCTTATTAAGTGAAGCATGAAAATTGTATTGGTAATATTTTTAGATTTTATTGGATTGCTTCCACTCATAAATCAAAGCAGCATTCAGTTCATGTTTGCCTTATTAAGTGAAGAATCTTCTTGATTTGTGATCTCTAACTGGATATACTATAGTATTCAAGTGAAAAACATATTGTGTAAGTAATCTTCTAATTCTTTTTTGTCTCACCTTTTCTTTATAGTGGATCATGGTTGCTATCAGGAAAGTTGGCAAAGATGCTTTTAATTGATAGTGAGCAGAATGATTATGACTGCCCATTAACAATAACAGGTATGCATTCACTCAATTTAAGCTCTGCTGCTGGCATGCTTTTGCATATTCAAATTTCATTTAGCTTTCGGTTATATAAATTCCTTATTTATTATTATTATTTTTCCACTTCATCTACATCTTTTTCTTTTCCCTTTTTCCGTACATATATATTTGGAAGTGAGCCTTATCTCGATAACTTTGTATAGCATGTCATTGATTACTGAAATTTGGTATTACCCTCTTCATCGAGCAAGTCTCCTACACAAATTGTTGTGTGCTCATATAGTTTGACGAGTCTTTCCATTATCGAGTGAATTTCTTTTTATTTGTTGCCATATCTTCTAATTAAGTGGGATCAGTTCATTTCATGAAGTGTTTGGAATATCATTTTTAATCTAATTGTATAAGCTGGGAATGTAGAGAGAGTTGTTCTTGAGGTTGTATTTTGGTTATGTAAGGGTGTATTGGGATTTGGATGTACTTGGTATTACAGGAATAAAATTCTTGAGGTACTCTTTTCCTCCTTCCAATGTCCGTCGAGCTATTTTAGTAGCTTGATGGTTATGAAGGGGGTTTTTAATGAGACCTCCCATTTTTATCAAAAAAAAAAAAGAAATTTAATCTAATTGTTCTAAATCGCAGCATGCTATAATATACCAAAAATTCATTACACGTAACTTTGAGATTTCGAAAATGGAGAAAAAGTATACTATTATCTTGATCGTATATCTTCCTAAAACAGAAAAAAAAACAGCTTGTTAAAATAGGTTGTGAGTTACTGTCACATTGGCCCTTTCCCTTTTTCATTTTACTGTTTTACTTTTTCTAGTCCAAGCTTCCAACATACAGGGTCTTTCTGAAGCTTTTATCTTGTCAACTTTTCGACTTTAGCATTTTTGGTTTTGACCTGGTGGTGTTGCCCAAACTGCTCATTTATTTATTCTTGTTCTTATGTGCCAATTTCAAATTATATTTGCAGTGCTGGATTTCACTATGGAGCTTGTAAGGACTGGTGTAGAAGATGATATAGTTGTGTCATTAATTGTTTTCTCCCTCCAGTATATTCTAGTTAATCATGAATACTGGAAATATAAAGTGAAGAATACTCGTTGGAAAGTAACATTGAAGGTATGCATTGGTTTTCCTGTAAGCTCCTACAACTTGTTTAGTTGTTTCTATTTTTATAATACCGTGATTGTCACCTTTATTTACCATGAAATGCATTTATCATGTTGGAGATCGCATTGAACAGATTTCTCATTTATGGCCAAATTAGCTGATGTGGATCAAATAACCCAGAATAAGAATACTCAAAATTTTCAGTATAAAAAATGATTAGCACATATGTAATATCCATTTTTAATAAGTGGCAGAAGATTAAGGGATGTTGCCCTCTCTCATGCTCTGAGAATAGCTGCAGTAGACATGAATATTCTGTTATGATCCATATGTGTATGAATCTTGTACAATTTCTTGTTTGCCTTATACTGAACTAAATTTTCAAAACTATTGTTTTAACTGCATTCTTTCTTTCCTCTTTCCTTGGGGTGTCTTTGACTAATTTGGTCCGGTTAACCTAACGAAATAAGTTTCTTATGATTTACAATGGACATGGATTTATAATGCTGGAGTACTAAGTTCTAATTCTCTTCCTTCCCTTAGGTGCTGGAAGTGATGAAAACGTGCATTTTAGCGATATCTTCCTCTGAAAAGTTGTGTGACGTAATACGGGATTTGATACTCTATGATTCTTCAATCCACTACACTCTATTTCGTATAATGTGTACAACTTCTGAAGCTTTGGAGGTCTGCTATTCTCCATTTTATCCCTTATTATTTTACTTTATAAAGTAGGATTTACTGTCTTTTTCTTACCAATAAAAAGATTCTCTTGAACAGAGACTTTATCTCAATCGCCTCATAGAATTGGTGGAGATTGAGGGATTACAGCTTGCTATAAGTTCTGCTTTGGATATCTCATATGTCATGCTTACCAAATTTTCGCAGGTATTCTTTAGAAATTTATAGAGCTGTTTCACTACTTACAGGAAATAACATGTTGCAAATTTTATCTGATGGAAAATAGTTATTGTTTTAGTCTTTCAGCTTTGTTACTTTTAGACATCTTTTCAAGCTCTCATGAAATCATGATCATTATGCTGCATGTTTGAGTAGCCATATGCATTTAGTTGTTTTAAGAGGGAGTTTTAGAAGTTAACTTTACATGGTCATGGTAATATACAGCTCTTGGAAATTTTGTTTTTCCCAGGTAGGAGGCTTTTATTCATGGTAATACATCACATTTAGTGATGTGATTGTTGTTACTTTGTTCTTTCTAGTCACATTAGTTTTGGTCTTTCTTTTATTTTGCCAATCAGCTTATACCTTCGTAAATAAAAAGTAAAGTTCTTGCTATATCTGCAGGATATGTCATCAAGCATCCCAGCTTTTCACCAAGCTATTCTCTCTTCAACAACCAAACCGATTTCTGTCATTGCTGCTGTCATATCATTGATATCTTTTTCTCGTGATCCGGTAGGTACTCTTTATGTGGCTTTGCAATTCAAAATTCAAAATGTGTATCAAAAAATTACTGACTTAATTATTTTGCTTTAGTTATAGAAAATGGACTGATAAAGTTATTACACATAGAATCCATGCTGAATTGATAAAATGGATAAGTGCGTAAGTTCCTTAAGTTGTGGGTGCAACAATGGATTCTAAATATTAGGAGAGTATTGAGGGTTTTCGGTGTTATGTCTGGGTTACACTTAAACTTGTCTAAGTGTTCATTATTTGGGGTTAATACGGAAGCTGACAGGGTTAAAGATTGGGCTATGAAAGCGAGCTGTGGAGTGGGGTCTTTTCCAATGTCTTATCTTGGTTTACCGATAGGAACTAGGAAAAATTCAGAGGGTATGTGGGAACCGGTTGTCCAGAATTTTAATAAGAGATTAGCTGGGTGGAAAGCTAAATCATTGTCGCTGGCGGGCAGACTTGTTTTGGTTAAATCCGTATTATCATCCTTGCCGATCTTTTTTCTATCTATTTTCAAGATCCCTCTCAAAGTGACTCAGAAGTTGAACTCGTTGATGGCTAACTTCCTTTGGGGTGAAGATCTTGATAAAAAACGAATTCACTGGGAGAATTGGAAATCGGTTAGTCAACCAATCGAAGTGGGTGATCTGGGAATACTTGACTTAAGGTTGATTAATAGGGTCCTACTTGGGAAATGAGTTTGGAAATTTGCTTATGAAAAATATAGTCTGTGGAAGAATCTGATTTGCTGCAAAAACAACGTTAGCATTATGTCTCTTTCAATTTCAAATGCGGCTTCACCCTTAGATTCCTGGATATGGAGAGGTATCCTCAGTAACTATGCTAAGGATGATCAGATTGGTGATGGTTTGAGACAAAATTCAAAGATCAATGTGGGAAATGGTCGGTCGATTGCTTTCTGGATTGATGTTTGGATTACTAATCTGCCTTTAAAGAACCATTTCCCCAGAATATTTGCTTTGTCGACGAACAAATGGGGGATGGTTTCTGAGTTTGGTGAGTATGAAGATAATGTCTGGGTTTGGAACATTCAACTTAGAAGAAATTTGTGTGATTGAGAATTGGAACAGTGGATCGCTTTAATGGCATTGATTGACCAGATTTCGCTGTCACGATCAGTGGATGACTTCTTGGGATGGTCAGGAAAGGGGGATGGCATGTTCTCGGTCAAATCTTGTAGATTGTCGTTACAGGGTAGGTCTGAAGGGAGTTTTGAGTGGAAGAAGTGGGTTTGGGATGGATTGGCTCCTCCTAGAGTACAAACTTTTTTATGGCAAATCTGTCATCAGAAATTAGCAGTTAGAGTGGAATTAAAGAGGAGGGATTCAGATTTCGGATGTTCTGTGTCCATTATGTCTTTCTCAGGATGAATCTATTGCACACTTGTTCCTATCGTGCACTGTTGCATCGGATTTGTGGAGCAAATTTCTAAGGTTATGGAATATCTCTACGGTGTTGCCTCATGACCCTTCTTCTATTTTGTGCTCGTGGTCGAACCTAAGGCATAATTCTCTTATTTGGAGGTTTATTCCGGCTGTCATCTTCTGGTCTATTTGGAAGGCAAGAAATCTGGTTGTTTTTGAAAACGGCAAGTGTGACTCTACTGTTCTGTTCTTTATCACTAGATTTAGATTGGCGAAATGGTTTTTAGCTAAATATCCTGAGGTTCGGATTCAGATTGACCTTCTAGTAGGGGATCCTACGAGGGCTTATAAACTTCTCTCTAGTACGAGTACTAAGAAGGTTATTGGCTGGACTCCTCCACCATCGGATATGTTCAAACTCAATGTTGATGGGGCACTGACTGGAGATGGGATGCAGGGTGGTATTGGTGGTGTTTTGAGAGACTCCTTCAGTTGCTCTTTAGCTAATTTTTCTTCTGCAGTAGGGCCTGGCCTCCCTATATTGACTGAACTGAAAGCTATTAAGAATGGATTGGCCTTTTTCTTTTCTCCCGATTGGGCTAACAAGGGTAGACTGATTTTGGAAAGTGATAGCAAATGTGCAGTGGATTGGATTTTAAAGCTACAACCTGCTCCTACTTTTTTCAGTGATTTGGTGGAGGAAATTGGAGTTCTTGTTACTGCTAAGGGAGTCGTTCTTAGATGGGTTCCTAGGAGTTCCAATATGGAGGCCGACAGGTTAGCTAAGCAGGGGATCGGTTGAGTGTTGCAGGCTTTCTGTTGAGTCAGATGAACTAGCTGAGGATGGGTTAGGCTGATGGGTCATTGTTTCCCAACGCTATTTGTATTAATGTTCTGTTTTATTATCGAGGGTTAGAGTGTTATGTCTATCTTATGTTATTCAGGGTTAGAATGTAATGTGTATCTTATGTAATTCTGGTTTATTAATAAATTGAGGTACTCTTTTCCTCCCTCAATTAGTTGCCACTTTTCAAGAGTCAACTATGAGGGAGGTTTTTAATGAGACCTCCTATTCCTATCAAAAAAAAAAATAATAATGATAATAACTTGGGGGGACAGCTCGGTAATTTCCTTTAATACATAATTTCTAATTTGTTTATTGATGTGCCAAAATTGTGATGGTGATGCAATGCTACTTGAATGTGCAGGCAATACAGGTTGCTGCTGCTAAACTACTGGCAATATTGTTGCAGATGGCGGAACCACATCCTTTTATAAATTCATGCTTTTGTCCAGATGATAAGCGGGTTGGCATTTTACTTTTTTGTTTTTGGAAGTTATTGATTTGCTATTTGTTTTATGGCTTCTATATAACTACATTTTTTCTTCTAATCTATCTTGATTAACCACTTCTTTAGATGACAGATTTAAGGCATTCTATTAATAGCATTCTACTTGAACACTGGATACCGAATGAGGATCTTTTTATTGCTATACTGAATTTGCTTGCTTCTGCAGCTCGTTTCCAGGTTAGTTGTGGTTCATTCATTACTTGCTAGTTAACCTTATATGTGGGCTGCGGTTCATTCATTACTTGCTAGTTAACCTTATATGTGGGCTGCCTTTTTCTTTATTATGCTTCTTCTGATGGTATTTGGAAGCCTGATGTGAACTATATCTATTCATGGAACTCTTTCTAGCTTGTAACTTTTCATTGATACAACAAATCGAGTTAGATGGCATGTGAATGTGGTTTTGTGAATATGTAATTACTTTTCGCCTTTCGGATAGTATACCCATGTGCTTTATCAATTCTTAATAAAAGAGAACCTTGATCCAGGTTTTAGGGGTTCCTAATTGATCTACTACAATATCATAATGCTACTGAGTTAGTTTTCCAAGACTGTCTTATGTTGGTGGTTTCTTTGTGCAGCCTGCTTTCCTTCTTGCTATGTTTGATGCAAAAGCGGAAACAGATAATCAACTGGAAAATATTGGTGGTGTGAAGCAGACAACAAATGAACCTCTGTCTGGTTCACCGGGCTCTGGAATAAATAGCCTTGTAGATGCCATTCTCCAATTTGTTGAAAGGTCTAATGATGTTATCAATAGGTATTTTGGGTGCTGAAGCCCTTTGCTTTTTTTCCCACTTATTCTACTATTACCCTTCGTGTGCTGATTTTGTGGTTCTTGGTTTGGTAACATGGCTACAACGGAAAATCAAACACCGACTCATTATCATCTCCAGCAATCCCTGCATACTTCTGAATGTACTTAACGTCTTAAAGGCATTGTGGCTTGGGGCTGGTCAGTATACAACTATTTTGGAGAGGCTGAAGAGCTCTGACAAGTTCTGGAAAGAATTGTCTAACTCTATCTCTCAAAATTCTTGCTTGGAAGTTCCTTTGCTCAAAAGCATGAAAGAATCAGAAGTTTCACTCCTTGGACACAAATATCGATGTCAATCTGCTATATTGGAAATGATGGCATATGATATGTTCATGATGAAAAAGTTGATATATGCTGAATCACTTGTCAAGGAACCTCCTGAATCAAATAAGAAAACTGAAGCTGATAATAATGTTGTGAAGAATGTCTTGTCAAATTGGTGCAAGAACTCTACTCTGGGAAGCTTGATCAAGTCATATACATCTTGTAAATATGAAAATGAAATTTATCTTCGTGCAAAGGTAAACATTTTAGTTTTTCATATTGCATAGATACCTATAGTCTGTAGATGGTCTTACCAATTGCACTTGAACTTGGATATGATTGCCGTTCCCAGTTGAAGTCTCCTGTACCCTGTTGTAGATGATAGACCTTTTATATCAGGCTGCGATATACATTACCCTACTTCATTTGTTGTTGTCTTGAATGTTCTGGAAGTTATTTTCTTTCCTTCTTTCATTTGTGTGGGGAAGTGTTGGGTGTGAGAGGAGATCGAACAAACATCTATTTTTTATGAGGGTACAGGATAATGGACATTCACATTTAAAGCACCTATATTTTGACAACTTGAAATGATTATCATTGTATGAATATATAGTTTTCGTAGGTATTAGAAAATGGTTTATCTGAAACCAATGGTAACCCATGCAGGCTTTTTGAATTGAAATTAGTGTTACTGAAAAATGTCCTTCCAGATAAACAAGCCATTACATAATTTGACTTAGATATTTTGTCTAGGCGTTGTCTTATCTAAACTGTTGATATTGAAAATGGAGCTACCGTGCAGGTTGCATTAAGTTTGCTCACCGTGTACGTAATGGGAAAACTAGTAGCTGGTGATGGTGGAAGTTTGTCTTTATCCTTAGTTGAGAAGATTCGTCTTGTGTATAAAAAGGTAATAGTAATTTTGCATATATTCTGGCCTGTTTTCCATAAAACGGAGATCTGTCTGATTAGTTGTATCTATTTCATCATAAAATACCCTGAGGAGTTCCTAAGAGATTGAGGCCACACAGAAAAAACAATACATAATTTTAATGTGAAATTTACTATTGCTTACTATTTTTTTAGTTACCCATATCTAACTCTGGTTTATGGTTGTGTTTTCTGCTGATAGTTGACTGTTCAGCCTGCTTTTTCTGAATTGTTGGCCCAGTACTCACAGCGTGGTTACAGGTAAGGACAAACATCTATCATATTTTTTGAAACTTATATCTTAGCATTATGTCGGTTCGCTAGACAATGCACCATCCGAGTAAAGGTTCAAAAAGAATCAAAATGTACTGGTTCTGTAAGGTTTATGTATGGATTAGCATTTTAGTCTTTAGATACCTTTTAACTGGGTAACCCTTTGTACTTCTTTTCATTTCATTACTACCATTTCTGAATTTTGCTTTTCTCGGTTTTCTTTCAGTGAAGGGAAGGAGCTGAAAGCTTTAATATTGAGTGATCTCTATTATCATATGCAAGGAGAGCTTGAAGGCCGTAAAATGAGTGCCGGACCTTTTAAAGAACTCTCCCAATTTCTGATAGAGTCAAAGGTGGTCAAGATTTATGAGAATAAGTGCAGTGTTGATCCTTTTTCAAATGCTGATGGTGTCCATCTGTTTGATCTTGGACGCATAAAAGCAGATTTGGGGTTAGATATGTGGGATTATTCTGAATGGAAAACATCTAAAGCAATTGCAGAAACAATGTTGTGCTGCTTGCAGGAAGCAAACTCAATGGTGTTGATTGAGAAGTCCAAGCTTTCTTCACTGAAAGCTTTAATAGCTGTCTTAACTGTGTATGAGGACTGTGTAAGTCTCTGATTTCTAATAGTTATTGCTGCTGCTTGAATGTTAGCTATGCTGAGATTGACACTATTTCTATTTCTAGGGGATCTCGGAAATCATGATAATTCACAAATAGGTTAAAATAGTTTTATTTTTATGCTATTAGCAATAAACAAAAAATGTGAAAGGACGATTAAAATTGTGGCAAACCATCTCCAAACTATTTTAGATTTTTATGGACTCTGGGATGCTGTGCCCACATTATATTAATTCGATTTTTTTGCTAATGGAGTTTAGACTTAAGTACCTTTGCCATAAAATTATTGGGGTAGTTTGGATTCTGGGCCTATGCCGATAAAGAAAGATATGTTAAAATGATTTAAATTCTGGATTTCAGGTATTGGCTTCTAAAATATATTGAAAACGTTTTCCTACTCTTCTACAAATGATTGGTATATTGTTGTATCATCCAGAATTTCTACTTGCTAATTTTTTTAATGCTTTTAATTCTCATATCTTGTTTGTGTTGCTACTATTAGAATATTAATTCAAATATACATTTTGTTGCAGTCGCTGGAAAAAACGACTGAGGTTGGAGGGAAGATTCCTGATCAACTGATTTTTTCATGCATGGATCATATATGTCGAAGTTTCCGTGACACTTTAGAACCTTTGTCTCCAGTCCCTGATGTTTCTGAAGATGTCCTTGATTTTCTCACTGCACAAGCAGACTTACTTCTTCATCTCACGAGATCTGTGCGGAAGAGCCTGTCCATGTCTGTTTGTGTTCTTCTCTTGAAGACTTCTGGTGCTGGTCTTAAAGTGCTAAGTGACCTTAGAATGATATTCAGTAGGGTGAGTAAAACCATGAGGCTTTTGATAATGTTGATTTTGTCAGCAACAGAGTTTTGCTGGGACAATTCTCATATATCTGGTGTGAAAGACAAAGAGTCTGTTGAAGGTTTCGCCGAGATTTCTAATGTCAGCCTTGGACTGTTACCCATCTTGTTTAACTGTGTTACTGTTGCCGAGTGTCATTCCCTCTGCTTGACTGGTTTGGACTTTATACTAAAATGTTTCTTGACACCTGATACTTGGTTTCCCATCATCCATAAACATTTCCGATTAGAACATGTTGTTCAGAAACTTCAAGATACCAATTCTTTTGGATCTGTTCCAATTCTTTTGAAGTTCTTCTTGACCATTGCACGTGTAAGAGGAGGTGCTGAAATGCTTCTTAATGCTGGTTTTCTCACGTCTCTCAAACTTTTATTTGCTGGCATGTCAGATGGGCATGGGCATGGGCGGGTTTCATCAGTTATTAGTTCTGGTAAAAGGCTCTCCACTTTATCTGACAAAACTGAGAAGCCTCAATTCATTTGGGGACTTGGCTTAGCTGTCATCACAGCTATGGTTCATTCTTTAGGAGACAGTTCTTCAAGTGCTGATATTGTGGAGAATGTGATAGCATACTTATTTTCTGAGAAAGCCCATCTAATTTCTTATTTTCTCAGTGCACCAGATTTTCCATCTGATGATCATGACAAGAAAAGACCACGTGCACAAAGGACTTGGACTTCTCTTTCTTCTCTAATGGAGACCGAGCAAACTCTCAATTTAATGTGCATCTTGGCACGACATTGGAATTCTTGGGTTAAGGTTATGAAGGATACAGATTCACAATTAAGAGAGATGTGTATTCATCTTCTGGCTTTTATTAGCCGCGGAAATCAGCGCATTGGAGAGGCTTGGAGCCGCACTGCACCTCTGTTGTGCCCTCCTGTTCTCATGGAAGAGCTTGATTGCTGCAATAAACCTTCATTTGTAAACAGCAGGAATGGATGGTTTGCTCTTTCACCCCTTGGCTGCCTCCCAAAACTGAAAAATTCTGGAACATCAACAACTGCTCTTGTTATCAGAGATCAAGCAACTGAAAGTAACAACCATGTTAAACAAACTTACTTCTCAGACACAGTTGCCATTCAGATATATAAAATTACATTTCTTTTGTTGAAATTCCTCTGTTTACAAGCTGAGGGTGCTGCTAAAAGGGCAGAGGAGTTGGGATATGTTGATCTTGCTCATTTTCCGGAACTTCCAATGCCTGAGATTTTACATGGGATACAGGTATGACTGCCACTTATGTTTCCCTTTTCGTATTCCCAGTCCCTTAAATAATGAGACATTGAATGGTGATTATTGTTTACTTCCAAAACAGATAGTTTATGTCTGGGCAGTGTTCTAAATTCTAAACTTAATTTATTAATTGCCTGTTGGTGGATTTTTCTTTTAATATCCTTTTTTGGACCACAGGACCAAGCAATTGCTATTGTCACGGAATTATGTGATAGTAACAGATTGAAGCAGATTCATTCCGAGATCCAGCAAGTGTGTCTCCTACTGCTTCAAACAATGGAGATGGCCTTGTACTTGGAACTTTGTGTCTTGCAGATTTGTGGAATAAAACCTATGCTAGGACGTGTGGAGGACGTTTCAAAGGAAGTCAAACTATTGATGAAAGGTAATGTTATGTTGCTAACATTTCCCTAAGAACGAAGAAACGTAATTCTTTCTGGAATCATTAACAAACTTTCGCCCTCTTTTTTGGTTTTTGTATTTGTTTCTGGTTTCCAGCTACGGAGGGTCAGGCTTTCCTCAAAGGATCAATGAAGTCCCTGAGTCAGATAATATCACTCGTCTATCCTGGTTTGCTATAACCAAGAAGTGTACAGGTGACTTTCCCAAGGACGCAATGGGTCTTTGTAGGCTTTCAGAATGAGAATCTGTAAGATCTGCAGATATTCCCGAATGTCGCGGTGCTGATGGTATGTAAGTCTTTATATGCTTAATATTCTGTTTTCAACACATACACTCATATTTGATGTCTTTCTCTCGGCCATTCTTTATTGCTTCTTGTGATTCCGTCGTGTTGATCACAAAGATGCTCCCCCAGTCATCTTCAAACTGTTAAGTGATTTTTATTATTTTTTCATTTTTGTAGTTGAGCTCTTGAGGTTGATTGGGCCCGCCTCAAGCGTGTAAAATGTGCGATTATAAAACGGTGTGCACATTACCATAAGCTTCATCGGTTAGATACTTGTCGTGAATAGGATTTGGATTTATCATATTCGCCATTCAACAAAATTCTGTGGCAAATTGAATGTGATTTTCCGCTTAGATTACTGAATTTGTAATGGCGAGAAGTGCGATGAGCATTAGATTTATGTGTAAACGGATGTTACGAAGCAAGGTGAATCTACACCAGCAATGGTTTTTCTTTAACCAGAACACTATCCTCTAAAGGGTTGGTGGCTAAGATCTTGGTTTTAGTTAACTGAAACTCTTTGATCAATGAAGTGCAAATGAATGAATGGATCTGAAATCCAGTAATGCATAAACAGATCTAGAAAACATCGAGATCATATTCCTCTTCCCGGCCATGAACATGATACATATAAGCTAGAGTTCTTGAATCTCTGTGAGTACAGTAGAACTTAGATAAATGAATGGAGTATTTGATAAATTAGTAATCATGATTTCTTGTTCGAGAGGCATATCTACTCAATCTACAAAACTCACAAACATAGTGATCAATGGATTTATATCCTAGCTTCATGTGCAAGAATTTCTTCATTCTTTCTGCCAAGTAGTTATTACTAAAATATTTCTTCTTGAATTCTTTACAAAGAACTCCCAAGTTACTTTCTCCTCAGGCATGGTTAAAATCGTGGTTTTCCATCAGTTTCGAGTTTCGTCGGGGATCAAAGAAACGACACATCCAAGTTTGTGCTCGTCGGAACACTGAAGTTGCATGGTTAATATCTTCAGTATTATCTAATCAATATTCAACAACCTCTGGAATATCATCATCATCAAGCCTAGTGAATGAATAAGAGTGGAATTGATATAACTTATCCATAGGAGCCCTCAAACTGGAAGTCGAAAGTGGAGGAGTTAAGCAAGTCTGAGATTGCTTTATATTCAGAAATTGGGTATCGGTGATTGCTTTGGAAGCATGTCACTTGAGCTGCAACTCCATAAGAACCATGGGGGAGTTCGGATGATTTCGATGAGTTGGAAGAACTTGTGCCTTTTCATTAGTAGAGGTGTAACACTCGAATTTAGGGGCTAAATTTAAGAAATTATAAAATGGTGAATTTAATTAGTATTTTGAATGAAACGGTGGATTAAATTGTAAAATTTCAAAGTTGACAGACCGTTTTAAGAAGTGCAGGAAATTCAGTGGCTAAAATCATGATTTGACCATTTTTTTAGGAGAAAATATAAACCCCTTCCCCGTGCGCAGTATCCAGATTATTTCCCAGTTTTCCCTAGGGATGGCAAAAAAATCCGAACCCGACGGGGAAAACTGAAAACCGAATTAAACAGGTCGGGTTCGGGGATGATAAACGGGGACGGGGACGGGGAAAACCTATTTATTTTAAACGGGGACGGGTTTGGTAATCCCCGCACCGATTACCCGATTACCCGCCCCGATACCCGACCCGATAAATATTAAAAATAATTATTTATATATATATATATATATATATATAATATTAATAAATTTAATTTAAATATATATATATATACCCGGCTCGATTCCCTGCCCAATACCGACCCAATACCCGGCCCAATACCCGGCCCAATACCCGTTTAAATAACCGTTTATACTAAACGGGGATACCCGTTTCCCCGCGGTTTTCCCCGATTACCCGACGGGGATCCCCGTTTAAATCCCCGCGGTTTTTTAAACGGGGACGGGTACCAATTTTTTAAACAGGGACGGGGGGACCAATACCCGGCCCGAACCCGGCCCGTTGCCATCCCTAGTTTTCCCCTTTCATCAACCCTCCTTTCAATTTCGATCTATTCGTCGTCCGACCTCCGATTGATGAACCGAAACCAACATCGTGTTCGTTGTCGACCGATGAACAAAATCCCTCAAACCACTCGTTGTGAATCGGCGTCGTTCGTCGTTAATTTCAATTGGAAGTATCATCGGTTTTAACTCAAATTCAGTTGGTTTTTCGTCGATTCACGTCGATCCGGCCATCCGTTTTCGACACCTCCCGCACCATCGTGTTCCTTGTATTGTTCCGAGTCCACTGGTGATTTTCGTTTCTCCGTAGCCGACGGCACGTGGAGGGGTGAGACCGTAAAAGTTTCCAACGTTTCAGAATCGAGCTCTCCACCGTTCAAAATTGTGAACCGAACTTGGTAAGTGTCTCAAAGTGCCTTAAAATAATTATTAGGAATTTTTCCGGGAATTTTCCGACACCGTATCACTGTTCACAAGCCGCACGCGCTGCCACTGTGCGTAGGGGTGTTAATTTTGTAAATAATTTCTGTTAGGATGATATTTGTGTAAAACTCGAGTGTTAGTTTTGTAAATATTTTTAGGTGGCTAATTTTGTAATTAATTTCGGTTAGAGTGATATTTGTATAAAACGGTCTGTAACACACCCAACCCGTATCCGACCCGGATATGAGTCAGAGATATTACATTGACTTTTAAAACACAACTTTTAACAAATCATAGCAAAATACTTGAACTGATAATAAGAAAATATGATAATATACATATGATACTATAAGTTTACCAAAATATTCGGAGCATACACAACTTAACCCTTTAATTACATGCCAACTTTCATTTACATAACAAAATGACCTACTGATTAAGTTGCTTCTGATCTGATGGTTGCAGGAGTAATGCTGTCCAGCTGCTTAACATGTCCCGTCTACTTTCGTGGATCCTACGTGTGAAACACTCACACGCTAAGTCATCGACTTAGTGAGGCAATGTAATAATAATAACAAGGAAATATAATGAAAATGTCATAATGATATGAAATGGAATGAAAACATATATTTAATCACTGTAGTTCACATCACCATTATCCTTACCGGTAAGCATGTTACTTTAATATTCATGAATTTGTATTAATGAGTTTATTGGCCCATGATATCATATTGAGAACCTAAGGTATGTGATTATTGTGAGGTTGTGCACTATGCTATCACCACAGCTCGTATAATTGCACCGAAGTGTCACGTAGAATTGCACCGGAGTGCCGCGTAGAATTGCACCGGAGTGCCATATAATAATGTCCATAAGGACCACATATCATTCCTTAAGAATCATATACATATACTAGGGATCAAGTATGTGTCTCACAAGACTTCACACATGTTCCAAAGGATATATATATATCCCGAAGGACCGCGTACACCCTCTACCCTTGGCATGCCAACTATACCTATAGTTCTCATCTACATAACATGGGCTTTCACACTTCACATAATTTGTATCACGTAAAGATAGTATTTTCATACCTTTATCACATAGGCATATCATTTCCTGCATATTCATGTCATGTAATGCATATGGTATAAACTTATATCATGTTTCATAATATGGAATGTAATCATGTATCAAAATATTGAATCTAGACTTATCATAAGTCTAGAACTGATTATAATACTATATTTATGCTATGCATATGCACTCACCTATATTTCCTTGCTTTTTCCTCGATCGATCCTACTTGTCGATTGTTCCAGAACTCGTTTAGGCTCGATATCTAAATAGCAATTCATTAATATTTATCAGTATACTAATTAGTATATTCTAAACTATCATTTCTTAGGCTAAAAGAAAAGCCATTTTCATCTTTTAACGGAGGCATGCATCGATACACTCCTGATGCATCGATGCACTGAGGGCATTCGATGTTCATTTTATTAGAAATGCATCGATGCACTCCTTATGCATCGATGCACTTCATGTGCATCGATGCACCTTCAACAAATTTCTGGGATTTATCATTGATGCATCGGTGCATAATGAATGTGCATCGATGCACATTGCCCATAAATGTCATTTAAGCACGAGAATCTCTTCTTACTCTACTTAACACTTTATATTTCCCCTCTTTTAATATCTCTAACTTGCATACTCTTACTTAAACTAATTATTATCCATTACATACTTCTAAAACTTAGAAATCCAATTCTCCATGTAGAATTTAAGAATCTAACCCAAATTCCAACATGTTCTAATTTGAATTCTAACACCTCATACTTCTTAGTTAGCTTTATGACAAGTCAAATCCCACTTTTAATTCTTATTATGAACTCTACTTCAAGATTTCACTTTTCTACTTCCTTTCTTTAATTCTTCATATACTCATCATCTTATGGTTTTAAGATAATCTAAGCTTTCCCTAAGCTTAGTTATTATCTAAGGACCAATAAGCAAATCTAAATTCATCAAGAACTTGATCAACAAGAAAACTCACCTTTAGCTTGCTCCCACGATGGAGAAGAAGAATGAAGAAGAAAGAAATATCCAGAACCTTGTTTTCTCTCATAAGCTTCCACGTGGTTATTAAATATCCCTAAATAATCTTTAATTATTCTTCTTGGTAAAAGACTCCTTTACCCCTTTAGTTCCTCCTTCTTTGTTAATTGATCCTACACAACACATTTCAATTAATTCCTTGAACTTTTCAATTAATCAACTTTAATCACTAATTTTTTTTAACATTCCACAATTTAATCACTAACCTGGTATGAAAGATGTTACAAATCTCCCTCCCTTAGGAAAATTCGTCCTCGAATTTTCATTGTACGAACATATGAGGATATTGAAGTTGCATATCTTCTTCACGTTCCCACGTGGATTCTTCTACCTTGTGATTTCTCCAAATAACCTTGACCAACGGAACCGTCTTATTCCTTAACTGTTTGACTTCATAAGCCAATATTCTCACTGGTTCTTCTTCATATGTCAGATCCGATTGGACTTCTACTTGTTCTGGTGCAACGATGTGAGAGGGATCAGACCTATATCTTCGTATCATGGACATATGGAAGATGCTATGAATCTTCTCCATTTCCGGTGGCAAGGATAACTGATATGTCACTGGTCCTATCATTTTAACAACTTCATATGGCCCAATGAATCTAGCACTTAACTTTCCTTTCCGACCAAAACGTAATACTTTTTTCCAGGGAGATACTTTAAGGAAAACTTTATCTCCAACTTCGAACTCAATCTCTATTCTTTTAAGATCAGAATAGGACTTTTGCCGATCAGATGCCACTTTGAGGTTATGCTGAATTTCCCGCACTTTCTCTTCCACATCTTGAATCAAATCTGGACCAATTACACTTCGATCTTTGAGCTCATACCAGTTTAATGGAGTACGACATTTCCTCCCATATAACGCCTCATAGGGTGC